GAGACGCCAGACGGCGAGACACACTGCGTCTCTAGCCTCCTGGAACTTCAAATGGCTGTATCTGGGCTCCTAGAACAGCTAGAAAGCTGAAAATTGGACAGAATTATGTGAATTTTCAGGAGGAATATTTTGGAAGTAAAAAGTACCCACGGCCGACCGCGGTGCGGACTATGGTCCACGCGGTCGAAACTCTACAAAAAATACAGTTAAAATCGTGCAATTCTGTCCAATTTTCAACTTTCTAGCTCTTTTAGAACCCGAGATACAGCTATTTGAAGTTCCAGGAGGCTAGAGACGCAGTGTCTCTCGCCGTCTGGCGTCTCTAGCCTCCGGAAACTTCAAATAGCTATATCTCGGGTTCTAAAAGAGCTAGAAAGTTGAAAATTGGACAGAAATGTGTGAAATTTTGAGGAGAATTTTTTGACCTGACTTTCTCCAGTTTTCTAGGCCATCTGAGATCTTCGGTGCTTCCTGATCCTTCTGATTCCAGGAAGCCGTCATCGAAGAAGCGATGCTAACCCACGGTTGGGACGACAAAGCGATGGACTATCTTCGTGTCATTCAGTTGAACGCAATGGAGGACCGTGCCGTGCAGGACAAACGATCGTGGGACTCGGCGTGCAACTTTCTGCACAAAGCCGCCTCGGAAAGGCTGGCCAGTGTCAAGAAACAGTTGACGTAGGTCGATTTTTGAGCTTGGAAATGGAAAAATCTAGGAATTTTGACCCGGAAACCCCCGGAAAACCATTTTATTGACCTAAAAATCACTTTTTCAGCGATTTTTCCAAAAATTGCCCACATGGCCTAGTGGGACTTTCGACGAGTTTGGATCCGGAGGTCGGGGGTTCGAATCCCACCGGTGGCAACATTTTCTGTTTTTTGTTTTTTGAAATTTTTTAGGCTTGCAAAGTCTGAAATTTGAATCTAGAGGTCGCGGGTTCGACCCCCACCGGTGGCAGCTTTTTTGAAAATTTTTTGAAAATGTTTTTTCGGGTTTTTTCGGGGTTTTCAAAGGCGGGAAGTTCAAATTTCACTATTTCAATCCATTTTCAGCGAGGACCGTGGACCAGGATGGGCATCGAAATGGCTAATGTGGAAGACGCCAACCGTCGACAATCACTACTCGTGTGTGATCCAAGACGAGCTCTACAGTATCCTCCAAGCGGACCCGGAGCACAAACAAGCACTGACCGACGACGATATTACAGTAATCCGGCGAAATATCGAGGTGAAAGGCGTGCCAGACGTGCCAACAGAGACGATACGGAAACAGTGGAAGTTGGTGTTCAAAAAGCACTTTTTGGAGAGAATCATCAATGTGAGTGGTCCCCCAACATTCAATAATCATGAAAAAGGCTCAAAATTAAATGAAAAATAAGCTAGAAATCATTTTCGAAACGAAAATGAGGGTTTTCGGCTTTTTTTTTGACTGAAAACGCTGATTTTCAGACTTTCGAACCCCAAAAACCTTTTTAAACCCCAATTTTTGACCCTGGAAAACCCCAAAAATCGATTTTTTGCGAATTTTTCAAAAATTGCACACATGGCCTAGTGGGATTTTCGACTAGCAAATTTGAATATAGGGGTCGATGGTTCGATTCCCATGAGTGGCAATTTTTTTTTTGTTTTTTGTTTTTCTAAGTTTTTTGGAGTTTTAAAGTTTAGAATTTGGATCTAGAGGTCGACCCCCACCGGTGGCAAAAATTTTTTTTGAAATTTTTTTTTTTGGAGTTTTTTAGTCTTTAAAGGTCTCAGGAGGTTCTAAAATCATGAAAATGATTGAAAATCCACGGAAAATGATCCAAAAACCATGAAAAAACCCCAAAAATCGACTTTTTCCAAAAATTGCTCAATTGGCCTAGCGGGATTTTCGACGAGCAAATTTGGATCTAGGAGTCCCGGGTTCGAATCCCACCGGTGGCAAATTTTTTTTGTTTTTTTTTCAGAGATTTTTGGGTTCAAAAAGTTTGAAATTTGGATCTAGAGGTCGCGGGTTCGACTCCCACCGGTGGCAACTAAAAACAATTTTTGAAAAAGTTTTTTTTTTGGGTTTTAGGGGTTTTCGAAGGCAGGAAATTCGAAAATTAAGGTTTTAAAGCTTGAAATTCGAGTCTGAATAGTCTACAACGGTCCAAAATCCACCTAGAAATCTCTAATTTTCGCTATTTTTCAGAGCTCCAAAGACTGTCTCTCAATGTATCAAATGTATCGTCAAGGAATGATCGAAGGACAGGATATCGATTGCCAGACGATCGTCCTGTTCTACCGTATCCAGAAAATGGTGAATTTGACGTGCAACGCGCTCAGGCAGCAGATCACGAACACCGAGCACCGGCGGCTGGAAAAAGAGATCAAAGAGGTTCTGGACGATTGGTCCCAAGAAGCGGAGATCAAGAAAAAATATTTGACGGGACGTCGAGTGGAGTTAGCTGAAGAGATTCGTGAGTTACCCCTTTTTTGGCGCTTATCTGATCTAAAAATGACCAAATTTGAGACATTTAGACCTCCTAAAGTCAATTTTTGAGCTGAAAAACGCGAAATTCAAGAAGTTTAGACCCGGAAAACGTTGAAAACCCAATTTTTTAGCCTAAAAATCGATTTTCCGGCTATTTTTCCAAAAATTGCCCACATGGCTTAGTGGGATTTTCGACCAACTTGAATCTAGAGGTCGGGGGTTCGATTCCCACCGGTGGCAACTTTTTTGTTTTTTGTTTTTCAAAGTTTTTTGGGGTTCGAAAGTTTAGAATGTGGAGGTCGCGGGTTCGACTCCCATGGGTTAATTTTTTTTTGAATTTTTTTTTGGAATTTTTTAGTCTTCAAAGTTCTCAGGAGGTTCTAGAATCATGAAAATGATTGAAAATCCACGAAAAATAAGCCAGAAATCATAAAAAAAACCCCAAAAATCGACTTTTTCCGAAAATTGCTCTCATGGCCTAGTGGGATTTTCGACCAACTTGAATCTAGAGGTCGAGGGTTCGAACCCCATGGGTGGCAACTTTTTTTTTCGGTTTTGGGGTTTTCGAAGGCGGGAAATTCGAAAATCGGAGTTTTAAAGTCCGAAATTTGGATCTAGGGGTCGCGGGTTCGATCCCGCCGGTGGCAACTTGAAGAAATTTGTTTTTTTTTTTGAAATTTTTTTTTCAATTTTTCGAGTTCAAATTTGCTTTAAAACGTCTTTTCTTTCCAATGTTTCTTTAATTTTCAGAACAAGTCCGTCGAATTCAGGAGAAACTGGAGGAGTTCATGGCACAGCTGCAACGGGAGAAAGTCTGAAAATATGGCTGGAATTTGCTGGAATTTTCCATAATTTTTTATTGTCATCTATTTCTGAATTTATGGATTTTTTTTTCAATTTTTGACCAATTTTTCCCCGTCCCTCCGATCGATTTTTCTCATTTTACGCCGGTTTTTTTCTCGATTTTTCGCCATTTTCAGCTGTAAATACCCCCCGAAAATAGGTCTCTTTATATATTTTTATGTGCTTTTTTTCGTAGATTTTCAGACAGTTTTTGTTTTCTTGCTAGAATCGATTTTTTGATTTTTTCGAAAAAAATTTTTTTTTGGAATTTTTGTGATTTTTGTTGATTTTTGTTGATTTTTAAGGGTTTTTATGGACCCCGACTTTCATTATTTTCATTTATTTTCCTTTCTTTTTTTTGTGGTTTTTCAGCGATTTTCAGACATTTTAAACCTATTTTTAGAGGTTTTTAGAACCAAAATTTGTGATTTTTGATAATTTTAGCAATTTTCAGACATTTCTGAGGCATTTTCAGCTTTTTTAAAAGCCATTTTCGCCGAATTTGGGGCTAATCTATGTCGTGAAATTTAGGTCATGAAAAAATCTAGGTCATAACCGAAAAAATCTAGGTCGTAAAATCTAGGTCGCGAAATTTAGGTCACGAAAATAGCATTTTAGGACTTTTAAAATGTTTTTTCGACTATTTTCAGACACATTTTCAGAAATTTTTAGTCATTTCTAGTTTCAGAATTTTTCCTTCAGAAAATGTCAATCAACACGGCAAACACGCCCGACGGACTGGGCGTCCTACTGTACAACGGAGAGACAATTGTGATTTTCGCGCAGGGTGTGGTGATGACGTTAGGCACTAGTGAGAATCAGGTGAGAGCAATGGATACGGTAGTTTTGGCTGAAAATTGGCTGAAAACCATCAATTTTAGTGGTTTTTAGGCGTTTTTAGGGTCCAAAATGGAACTTTTGGACCCTAAAATGCCTAAAAATGACCGTTTGAGGCCCTAAAAATCGTCAAATTCAGTCAAAAATAGACTGAAACAGTCCAGATCGGCCGATTTCAGGCAAATTTTTAGGCATTTCAGGCCTTGTTAGGCTGAAAAATCAGCCGTTTTTGACTGATTTTCAGCTATTTTCGGCCATTTTTGACCAAATTTAACCCTAATTTTTCGAATTTTTCAGAATCTGGAAGGCCGCCGAACGGGAACGATCTATTTGACGTCGCATCGAATCATATTCATGCCGGACCCCACTGGAAACAACGATTGGCTGAAATCGTTCGAAATCCCGTTCAACAATATGCAGGACGTGAACTTGAATCAGCCGATTTTTGGTGAGTTTTTTGAACCCGAAATTGACCGATTTTGACCTTAAAACGGCGATTTTCAGGCATTTTAGACGCTAAAACCCCCTTAAACCCCCAATTTTTGACCCCGGAAACCCCTGAAAATGATTTTTAGCAAATTTTCCAAAAATTGCTCTCATGGCCTAGTGGGATTTTCGACCAACTTGAATCTAGGGGTCGCGGGTTCGAATCCCAACAGTAGCAAATTAAAGAAAATTTTTGAAATTTTTTTTTTGATTTTTCGACAAACTATAGGCTAATTTAGAACATTTTTAACGGATTTTTCCCGAGTTTGAGTCAAATTTAAGCCATTTCCAGCCAAAAATCCTCTATATCTTTTTCCAGGAGCCAACTATCTGTGCGGCGTCGCTTCAGCCGTTCAAGGCGGTCAAATGCGTGGCGAGGTGCCGTGGCGAATGACATTCAATCGTGGCGGATGCATCGAATTCGGTCAATCCCTGCTTCAGGCCGTCGACCGCGCCAACCGCATGCGGCCGGCCAATGCGCCGCCCGCCTACGCGCCGCCCATCGGAGCGTTCTACTCGGCACCGCCTGCGTACTATCAACCGTCGCCGGATCAAGGTAAGGCGAAAATTTGGGAAAAAAAATTCAAAATTTGAGCCAAAATGACCCAAAAATCTGAAAATTCGAAAAATCCCAAATTTTCACTTTTCCAAGTAAATTTTTCTCTGCAAAATCGAATTTTCCAGCAATTTCCAACTTATCCAGCGTTTTAGCGCACAAAATTTGACCTAGAATAGTGGATTCTAGGCCAAAAATTTTTGCGAATTGATTTTCAGCCAAATTTCCCATTTTTTGGCTGAAAATATTGATTTTCGGCAGTTTCTATCAATTTTCATCATTTTTATCGTCTTTTTGCACCCCGAGAACCACTTTTCCAGCCTTTTCTACCCTTGAAACTTGAAAAATTAGCGAAAAAAGAGGGAAAAATCGAATTTCGCAAGCGCCGCGATGCAAGTGCGCTCCATTGGACACTAGCGGAAATTCGCCGATTTTTGTGATTTTTCCACCTAAAAAGTGCTAAAAACGACGAAATCGATGGTTTTTCGTGGTTTTTGGTGTGTTTCATGAATTTTTTGGGTTTTGAAACGTCTGGAAACTTGGTTTTCGAGATTTTCCGACATTTTTAGGGTGAAAATTGATTTTTTGGATTATAACAAATTTTTGTGCTGAAAAGCAGGAAATCGGTGGTTTTTTGTGGTTTTTGATGTTTTGAATGGATTTTTCGGGTTTTGGAACGTCTGGAAACCTGATTTTCGAGTTTTTTCCGACTTTTCTGGGGTAAAAATTGATTTTTTGGATTTTCACAAATGTTTGTGTCTGAAAACCATGAAATCAATAGTTTTAAGTGGTTTTTAATGTTTTCAATGGATTTTTCGAGTTTTGGAACGTCTGGAAACCTGATTTTCGAGTTTTTTTTCCGTATTTTTAAAGGTGAAAATTGATGTTTTGGTTTTTTAGAAATTTTTGAGCTGAAAAGCAGGAAATCGAAGGTTTTTAGTGATTTTTCGGGTTTTAGAACGTCTGGAAACTTGGTTTTTGAGATTTTTCCGACTTTTTAAAGGTGAAAATTGATTTTTTAGGAAAATTAGGTTTTTTTTGTTTCGATTTTTGGCTAATTTTCGCTGATTTTTTCGCTATTTTAGCTCAATTTTCATCAATTCTAGTCGCAGTTTCATTTTTTCGGCTAATTTTCTTTCTAAAATTGCACATTTTCCAGGACCCAATGGCTTCAACCCGACCACCGACTCGTTTCCCGATCAACCGAACCCATCTCGCGTGTTCATGAGCTCCGCCCCTCCACCGTACCCGGGAATCGGACCAGAACGCGGTCCACACCCGACAGAAGAGCTCCACGTGGCTGGGCAATTCGAAGCGCCGCCAGCGTATTCGGGAGCCGGAGAGACCGCAGAGGGATTGAGAAATCGAAGAAATTGAGGGGAAAGTGAGGACTTTTTGAGTGAAAAATCGGTGTTTTTAGGTCTGAAACCTTGATTTTTGGCAAATTTTGATTGAAAAATTGCCTCAAAATGCATATTTTTTGGTCCTAAAACTCAATTTTTTCCCCTTAAAAATCACGATTTTCACCGATTTTTTCACTCAAAAATCCCCAAACTTCCCATCATTTTTCTCTATGGAATTTTAAAGAAATTTCGAATGAAAAATTGCCTTAAAATCTATATTTTTAGGTCTGAAATCCTCAATTTTGGGCAGAAAATGCCTATTTTTTGGTCCTAAAAATCACGATTTTCAGCGATTTTTTCACTCAAAAATCCCTCAAATTTTCACCCATTTTTTCTCTATAAAATCTCAATATTTTGTATATTTCTGAACGTATTTTTCCCCAATATTTTTGTGATTCCTTTATAATGTCTTGTTGTTTTTTCAATTTTTCGAAAAATTCTCGGTAGAATTCTAAAAATCGCCCCTCCTCATCCCAACCACTCGCTCGTCGTCGTCGTCTCTCATGTCATTTTGCTCTCTAAGAATCACTATTATCCCAGTTTTTTCCCCCATTTTTTTCGCCTTTTTTAAAATGGAAAATTCGAGAAAATCGCTGAATTTTGAGCTAAAATTGCATTTTTTGCTCTAAAATGTGAGTTTTTTGGGCTAAAAGTGGATTTTTTAGGCCTAAAATTTGAAAATTTGGAGCTAAAAAGTGGATTTTTTGGCTTAAAAGGTGATTTTTTAGAGCTGAAAATCACATTTTTCGCCTCGAAACTTTGATTTTTTTTTCCGAATTTCCCGCTTCTTTTTTCCCATTTTTCTCTCTCCAATTCTCAAAAACCTGATACTTGTCTCCATTTATACCAATAAAACATGCAATGTCTCTTGTTTTTCTTCGAAAAATCGAAATTTTTTTCAGTTTTTAGCTGTGATTTTACTTATTTTTATGCCTTTTTTCATGTTTAAAATTGATTTCAGGTTTAAAAATCGCAAAAATTTGAATCCAAAAAATGCTAATTTTCAGAAAAAAATAATCATTTTAAAATTGAAAATAGTGTTAAAAATGATATGAAATTTTCGCTAAAATCACTAAAATTTGAAAAAAAAATCACCGGTTTCCCGCCGAAATTCCATTTTGGCTCGAAATATTGAAATTTCAGCTTAAAGTTGATCAAAATCACCTAAAACTGGCCCAAAACTGGCCCTAACGACGAGAATTTAGGAAATTCCAGGTTTTTCTTCAATTTCCAGCTCAAAACCTCGATTTTTCCAAGAAAAATAAGCTGAAAATCATGTAAAATAACTTAAAAATCGTGAAAAATCACCCAAAAAATTGTAAAAAATAACAAAAAATCATGAAAATCGACCCAAAAGACTTGAAAATTGACTCAAAAATCATGAAAAATGAGTCAAAAATCATGAAAAATGGCTCAAAAATCATGAAAAATCGACCCAAAAGACTTGAAAATTTCCGATTTTCATGATTTTTGGATTTATGATTTATCGAAAAATTGCATTTTTTACAATTTTTTGGCTTTGCAAAATGAAACATTTCGAAATTTTGAGTTTTTTGAGCGCAAAGACGAATTTAGAAAATCGGGAAAGGGTAAAATTGATTCAGAAATCGTGAAAATTGAGTCGAAAATCATGAAAAATGACCTCAAAATAACGAAAAATCGTTCAAAAATCATGAAAAAAAATTCCATTTTTCGTATAAAACCAAGAAAAATAAGCTGAATACTATGCAAAATAACTTTAAAATCGTAAAAAATCACCCACAATTTGTAAAAAATGACCTAAAAATCATGAAAAAAATGTGCAAAAATTCACCCAGAAACCGTCAAAAATGAACCAAAAGTCGTTTTTCATGATTTCCAGACTTGAATTTGTGTCGATTTTAATAAATTTTCCATGATTTTTAAGCTATTTTCGCACAATTTCCAGCTGAAACGCCATGAAAATTTTCATGATTTTTGGACCATTTTTCATGATTGTTGAGTCAATTTTCGTCATTTTTGGGTCATTTTTTATGATTTTTGAATCATTTTTCTTGAATTTTGAACCATTTTTAGGGGGTACGACGAATTCGAACGTTTTCAAAATCGAACAGACCTAGAATCGAACTGATTCAATTCAGAACAGTCCTTTTTTCGCACACGTACCAGAACAGAACGCGGACAGAATCGAACTGTTACAAGTTCGAACTGGTAAGGAGTC